TGACAAAGTATTAAAATTATAGGCATGTAAACAACAGACACCAGATTCTGGATTTCTTCAAAAGATTTATATAAAATCTAAATTTAATTTCTTAAGTAGCTATTCATTTATGAAATATGTGGAAAAACCACAAAAAGACTAAGTTTTTTATATTATGTGATGAACATCAAATAAATATCTACTGAAACTGCGAACTACATATAGGCTAGGAAGGTAGAGATTACAGAAATTCAAGTGTATTTGGAAAAGAAATGTTGCTAAAGTTGCTATTATCACGTACTAATAAATCAACAAAGATAATATGTATTAAACATTATGTTAATATTTTTACTCATGGATTCTTATTCCTCATAATAATAAAGAAGCTACTGAATAGCTAGCTTTTTGTTTTGAACCATCGAATAGTTGTCAAGATTAGACTCATCTTGTTTCTTTTTACTATCTTTATCGTTCTCTTTCCCTCCTCCCAGTAAGGAAGTCAATTTCATGAACAGATTTTTAACAATTTAATTTTACCTGTATGATTTTCATAAAATACTTTTTCCAAATTAAACAGATGATGCAATTAAACTGAAATGATGTAGAGAAAGCTGCAAATGCTCAGCTATATACGAAGCAGACGTCTGCCTAATAAGACAAAGTGGCACAGCAAGCAAGCTAGAAAATCCACCAAACACATCTTTTTTTAACAGTTTTGTTCAAGTTTCTTTATTGCTTAGTGGACTAGAAACAGAAAATAAAGTTCTAAGTGCCCTTCCTTCACACTACTGCTCAGAGGATAAATACTGTTGACCCACACTAAACATACCATTAATCCCGGACAATTTTCTCAAATTCCTAGTCTAATAAAAAAATGACACCTTACTCATTCAGCCTTAATATGTACCATTTCCTACCTCCTTTTGTTGTCACTACAGCTGTGTTTATAGGAATGTAGATGAGATAGAAGATCACAGAGTATTTTTAATGAGCAGACCTCAGAAGATGTTAAATACTTAATTAATTAATTCCTAATAGATATATGGTGATTTACTAGCTAATCACTTGGTACAATGAACCCTCTTCCTATACATCAAAGTAAGTAAATACATTTACTATTGATCATGTATAGAAAATGAAAAATCTTTCTTTTTTAATTTTTTGTTTTCATCTGAAGAGAGTAGGTTTTAAATAACAATAGCAACAAAAAGTATGCTTTTTTTTATCTTGACATTAATACAACTCTTAATTTTTTCATGAAAGAAATACAAATTAAAGGTCTTTTCGATTTACTTTGTGCTATATTTTTTTCCAGTTATGATAGGAGTTAGCAATCTCCTTCAGCATCCACAGATTCAAATGATAAAGGCCAGGGATTAAGCACAGCCGATTAACAGTCTGTGTCCTCTTCAATCTAGCATTTCCACTGTAGATAAACCCATATTCAGACTGAAGTTATATTAAACAGACTGTCCTCAATATCATTTCCCTAGATGACCTCCTCTAAACTGACATTCAAGCATTCTTGTGGAAAATTACTGTTGGTCGTAACTGAAAAAGTAGAGAATACAACATACACCCACACAAAAATGATATTATTTATTCAGGAGACCTAGCTAAATGTTTGGAAAGTGTTTGGATAGAATAATAATTTTACTGTAAGTTATTTTGTTTCAGTTCTGAGCAATTTCTTATGATTATAGATTTGACAAACAAAGGACTTAATTTTTTAATGTCTATTGCTTATAATTATCTTTAAAATAACTGCATTTTAATTTATACTTATTATTAGGAAATAAATATATCTTGGTAGATTACAACACTACAAATTCTTTTTCTTTCCCCACAGGAAAATAAACATTAAAATTCTCAGAATATACTGGAATATAAGTGGCACCCTACAGAAAATGTCAGCATAAACAGTTTGCCCAGTGAAAAACTGTAACAAAATAAAATACTATATGGTCAGTGTTGACAGCATAGTCTGTTATATACAAGTTTCGATTTCTACTCTAAATTATGTTTCTGCCTAAAATTAAAAAAATATATAATGTAAAAACAAAGACTCTCAAAGACTCTTTTTTTCGTTTTCAGTCACATTTTCATGTGGAAATTTTGAAAAGATATTCAGGTACTGACATTTGACATCCAGAATTGCATGGGCCAATAAATAAATAAATAAATAAATAAATAAATAAATAAATAAATAAAGAGACAATTACTCATAAAGATATAGAATGCTTCGTGGACATTTTAATTTCTTTACCTAGATGCTCGGTATTTTAAGGATCTATGGAATTTTGTATCAGTGTGTTTCTTTAATCTGGATCATTAATATTTGAAACAAATATTATCTAAATAACAAATATTATCTATTATCTAAATCTTATCTACACAGTTAAAAGGGCCTGGATTCAACTCCTGTTTCCTCTAGTTTATATTGGTGGAATTCCAGTGAAGCAATTCTGAAATCAGATGAATGAATGAGTGCATTTATTCATCTGAATGAATTCTTCATTCAGAGCACGTGATTAAAATTTGGTTCCCTTTGACAACTCAAACAATAAGAAACAGGCCATGCTATACCGTGGCAAACAAAAAACAAAAACAAGCAAATACTTTGATTAGTAATTTCATAGAACTGCTTTGAAGTAAACACTCCATGTGACCACAATTAATTCATTAGAGCTGCTCACCAATTCTTTTTACTGAAGTGGTTTTTTTTGGTTTTTTTTTTTTTTTAAGACAATAAAACAATTCAGATTAAGTTTAATAGCCAGAAAAATACTTCGGTACGGGTGTATAGATGATTACATGCACCTTTTCTTGCAGACACAAGACTACTTCAAAACTCTCTATAATAAATCTGTAATTGAGAAAGAACTCAAAAAATGAATTTAACTCACTCACTTTGAGATCTCACTGCAAAAACTAACTTTGTGGTCTATGGCTGTAAGAACTTAACCAACTAAAACTCATAGTACAATGTGTTTAATCAGACTGCATGGACTACTGCTTTAGGCTATATATGTTTAGCGTGAATTAGAGACACACTAACTTGAGAGATATGATTTGTAGTTCAGTTCTTCTTAATCGTCTTTGTGAGCAGAAGGTTGCATATTTTCCACTTCAAAAGAGTTTCACTGAATTATATTTAACTAGGGATAAGATTTACAACATGCAATTAAAACATCATGTATTCCATGTATTCATTTTTAAGTATCTTGTTCTCAGTAGGAGCCTGTTAAAAATGCTTGTCATATTGCACAGGAACAATCTTGCCTTCAGCTCATCACCAACACGAAACCTAATCTGTCATTATTCAGTTATATTTTCTTTTTGCTTTTTTTTTTTTTTTTTTTGAGAAGTTATATAAAGGAAAATTGATTCCCTTTACATGCTATTTTGTGTAAACAGGAAAAAAAAATCTATTTTGGGGAGGAGGAGTTTGCATATGTTTTTAAGTTTCTAATTTTCTGTCTTCTTTAATTATTGGGATAAATTTCTTATTACTGTATTGGACAAACGTGAATTTATTTACACTGGATTTTAAAATGATACTGTGTTAGCTGAGCTGATATTCTTTCAGTAAGAACAAATGAAATATTAATCTGAAATACTTTCTTAGGACAAAACATCATAGTAACCCACTAAAGGCTGCAGGACAAAATTCAAAATATAAAGAGACTTCGGAGTGACCTCTCTTTGGAAATGCCCAAAGAGTGAAATAAGACTCTAACAGTGAAAGAACTTGAAAGAGAAATACTCTTTCAAGTATTTATGTACATTTGAGTACACACCCACACCCACATGCACACAGAGCTCCATACCACACCTTTCCTTTCTGAGAACTTTCATTTAAGCAGCTTCACAGTATTGTATCAGAGCTCACAGTATTCCCAAACATTTCCCATTTATTTTTAGATTATAGGTTTTTTTTTCATCAGCTTCTGAGAACAAGAAAAGAAGGTGGTGCACTTATTGCTGGCAAACAGCCTGAAAATTCTGAGCAAAGAAGCCAATCGAGGCAGAAGGATTAAAATAAAGTACAGAATTTGCATATTTAGAGTATGGTTACTGACAAATAACAATGCACTGGTTATGCAAATCAAACCCTCAGCTGAAGTGAGGGGATTTGCATATCTGGGAGAAATCTGCCATGTTACGCACCAGTAACTACATTTTAAGTGGCTGAAAGAACTGGCTTTTAGCAGAATATTAAATATAACTGCCAATAGATTTTGTTTTTAATTTAGTTGTGATGAAAGCTGATTCTGGTTTTTGTTTTTGTTTTGTAAGAAGCAGTACCATTCGGATGCTAAAACACTGCAATTTTTAAGACTGAGATCATGAAAACATTAAAAGACTGCACGTTGCTATTTGTGTTCATCTTTTAGTGGATGAAGGTGATTTAAAGTAACCCTCTTGAGAGAGGAATGCAGAAAACATGAAAGTTTAAGGCTGTTTCAGTTCTGTATAATAAAACTGTGCTTACTTAGTTTTACATTTAATGAATGAAGAAAAATACGTTGGATTGAAAAGTTTCACAGGTGAAAATCCTAGGCTGAAATAATACACAATTTTCTGTCATCTACTAAAATCATGAAGAAGACTTACTGTACTAAAATAAAACTAAGGGGAAAAAAAGGAATGTTCTTCTTTAAAATGTGTATACTGCAGCATTTGTATCATTCATGCAATGAAAAACAAAATGTTACCTCTGACTAATGTTTATTTTTCCTTTCTTCTCTTGTGAATGACGATTAGCTCTAGTTAGGATGTAAGCTTACACACCCTGCCCACTAACTGTAAACGAAATTGTGATGTTACACAGATTGATCAAAGAGAATTCATGCAAACATGTTCAATCTACAAATTATTCCTTTTGATGAGTATTCAAAGACATGATCCATTTCCACAGATAAAAATGGAAGGAACTGAGCAAGATGCTTTAAAGATCTTGCTACTTATCCCATGCAGAACTGGTAAGTGAGCTACAGCACCATCCTTAGAGTACTTACCATCTTCTGTGGGCACATAGATATTCAAGTACAGGCAGTCTTCATTTTGATCTTGAACATATGTCACCACAGTATCCAGATTGGCTGTAAACCAGACTGGCAGCATGTCGTTGAGCAATGACCTCTCATCCAGGTACTGTGGGCAGACAGCAGCAAATTGTGTGGCATTACGGACACCTGTCCAAGATGATGGTGGCTCCGGGGGCTGAAATCGCCTTTCCCCAGTTGGAGGAGAGGCATAAGGAACACCCAGATACTGTTCCACTGGACCAAGGATTTCATTGGGCAAAGGTGTTCTTAAACCACGTATTTTGCCGTAATTTGTGGTAACCACTGGGTATTGTGCTTGGCCATCAATAAGAGTAAATCTTATAGCCAGTGCAGTTATCCATAGGAGGAAGTTGGAATTCAGCATGACACACACTGGAGTGAAGATCAAAGGCAGCCATAGGAGTCCCATTGGTTTCGACATTATTTAAATCAACATCAGCAGGACTCTTTTTTTTTTCCCACAAGCAGTAGAAAAATGAGTCAAAGAAAATGAAAATTATTAATAAAATAAAAAACTATTCAAAAATAGCATAACCTTTCTCAGGCAGCGAAAAACCAAAATCTGATGCGTGACTTATTTGATTGGCTATAGACAAATTCCAAAGTCAGAAGAAATCAGGGAGTGTTTGTCCCCAAGGCCCATCCCAGTCTTGAGTGTCGGCTTAATCCTGACAATGCACAGCACGTCCCAGCCAGTAGAGAAAAGAACCACAGTTATTCCACTTCTCCTGCAAAATGACTCCCACCAGTGAAGTCCAGTCCACTCAGCCTGTAGACAAGAGAAAGCAAACAATTAAAATCAACAGATACGTTAATATTGATGTACATCTATACAAAATGAACAAATAAACTCATAGCATACTACCCCACCAAAACCAATAAATCTTTCATGAACTCTAGCCATCATGTTTAACTATGTGTTTCTGAAAATATATAAGGTAAGAAAACTGAAAATAGAAGGCATGAATTTGTACAGGGCTAGAAAACAAACCAAACACTTTGGTTATGTATATGCTTTCACACCATAGCCCAAATGTTAATGCATTTAGGAAGGGTATTCTACATTTAAGTGCCAGCTCCAGGGTATTTTCTGCCCTAAATAAAAGCATTTCTTTTTTAATCAGATTTGCAGTAAAATAACAGACGCTCATTAGATTTTTTGGTGCACTGAATAATCTTTTTGTTATGACATGACTTCCATTTGGTATCTTTTGCAAGTATGCATAATGTGTAACCCAACTTACCTCCATGTAATTCAGACATTCCAATGAATTTAACAGAATTACCTTACTTCAAAGAAAATGTGCCAATACCATTAATTAAAATTACACACTAAATATTGGTTTTCACAACTGCTTTATTTATATTATATCTGACAAACATGAACAATGACAACTGAAAAAAGTGTGATACAATCTCTCGGAAATCAGATCTTGACCTACACAGTTATAGCTCTGTAAGTTTGCCCTGCTCCTTTATCTTTAGACAGAAGGAAATGTATAAATTAATTCTGATAATTTTTAATGAAATATGTCACATACCTTTATGCTAACCATTGCAAGTGGTGTAAGTTAACATGTAAACTATATTTACATTCTTCTCTCTATGCAAATAAATTGAGTTCCTTTTAATCAGTTTTTCAACTTAAAAACACAGACAACAATTTCACACTTTGAAAAATCCTTATTATAGGAATCTAGTACTTTACATTTAATGGGATGAATACAAAATAAAATATAAATCATTTATATATTTGCAAAATCAGGTTTTGTACCAAGACTCAATGTCATGAAGATATAAAATGACCTTTCAAAAGCAGAAAAATCCAAGGTCAGTAGTTATTGACAGTGATTTCAAATTAAAAACAAACAAACGAGATATCTAGGAATTATCTATGTTGACACTTTAGGACAAGAATAGGCATCTGAAAAAAAAAAAAAAATTGTCCTTTTAACACCTGCTATTATACTTTAATGACTTTGTTTCAGATTTTATATCATGAAATACTTGTGAAACACCTGAACACCAGAGAAATATCAGGTACATGTTTTTTTTTCTGTTGAACAAACATTTTCATTGATAGTTTCACTGATAGACAATAGGCCCTAAAGAGGCCTCCAAAGGATTTGCAACGACAATGCAGTTTCTGGAGACAAATCAATCTCAGTTATGTTTTATGTCCCCAAGGGTACCCTTTGCACAAACAGGCCCTGCCACACCCCACTTGGGGCCTTCCCCATCTTAACTCAACCAAGGGCTGCCAAGCCCAAGCCATGCTGCATGTCCAGCCTAAATCCTGCCTGGGCTGGGACCCCAGATCAACCTGTGACCCGATGTCTCACTCACCTGGCCTGTCTAGCTAACTGCTGGGCAGTAACAGGGTTCTCCCACCCCCAACCCAGTCCTGGTAGTGAGCTGTGGGAAGGTGCCTTGTTGATGAAGGCACTGCCCTGCCATTGCCATGGGTGTCTACAACGGCTGGTTCATCTTTCCTGGAGAGCTCCCTGCCACTCAGGGTAGCCAGCTGGCTACTGGTCACCTGAAAGTCCTCCTCAAACACTGCCTTCCTATTTCTGCTACTGCTTTTAACAACAGAAAACAGCATGGTAACTTTTTTTCAAATGAATTATTGTATTTTCCCTGTTAATTACTCTATGGAAGAGAAGTAAATATCATTTCTAGGCCTACCTCTGGACTGGAAAAAAGTCTAACTGGGTAATAGAAAATTAGGCATCTTAGACATATGTTTGGAATAAATTGATAAAACAATTTTTAGACAAATTAAGGGAAGTGAATTGCATTTCTTCCGTAACGTTTACATCTTCAGGAGTTTAGAAAAATGTGTACAGATTTGCTTGTAAAAGCAGCTCCTAGTTGGAAGCATCACCCACTCGAACAATCCAAACTAAAATGTTCAGTTTAATATGGCAACTTTTAACAACTTGACACACACAGAGAACTCAAAGATCTGAACCTGCATCCATTCATACACAACAGTTTTGAAAAGCAGTGTGTTTTGAGGCCAATAGAAAACTTATGGCCTTTGAAGAAAATGTACAATCTCTAAAGACATTGCTTGAATTTGATCATAAATCTGTTCCACAAGCAATGCTGAGAGGTGCTTAAATAGTCTATGATTCTGGCTTTCAGGGTTAAACTGATTGTACCAGGATGAGCAGTTAGTACCTTTCCACAATGAGCAGATTAATATTATAGCAGCTCTAAACTAAATCTGTAACCACTGGGGAACTGCGACATACAGCTTAAAAGACCTCTTTGCTCCAAGGTCAAACATCAGATTATAGAGTGATTGCAAGTTTTTGTGATCTGCTTGTGCAGGTTGTGAACAGTGAGTAACAAAAACAAACAAACAACAAAATAAATGCCACCAACAGCAAACACAAATATAAATGATAGATATGAAAACAGGAGATGGAGGACTGCACAGATTTCCTGGAATTTCTCAGCTTTTATTTATACTAACCAGTACATTAAACATGTACCTCAATTTTCATTCTCTGATCATTTCTATGTCTCTCACTTTTAAACAATTTCTTAATGTTCTACCGCATTAGTAGATTTCAGCAATATATTTATTATATCAATTGCCTAGAACCTGGAAAATATAAATATTCACCTAAGTGAATTCAACTAAACAGTATCGGAACAACATATCTACATTAGTGGATCAACCAAGTTATATGTTGCTGCTATTTCTGTGGTATTAAACTGCTGTTCGACCACAGCAGATCAGTGGGTAGTAGGGATGGAGAGGTTTTTAATGATTTCTCTTTTACATTACATTCTAATGTATTCCTCATTAACTCACTCTTGAAGATTTAAACATTAAAAATTAAATGAAAGTAAGATATCAGTGCTACAAATTAAAGAACTATGACGCAGCATTTCTTAGAGTGAAAAAAAAAAAAAAGCCAGCTGTATAAAATCATAATGGATCTTGAAGTTGGTCTTAGATTTATGGTTAGCAATAACTGAGGACAAAAGTAGATAATTCACATGCTTTTAAAAATAGAAATAAAACCTGAAAAACAATACAGTGTATGTATAAAAACATTAAAACAGTTTTATTTTTTTCAAAGGACATGCTACATTTAGCTTTCCCTTTCTTTCTCCAGAAAGGCTCTCAGATATGCTTGGAAAATGTCAAAAGACTCCTCAGGTTAGAAAAGACAATCACCATTTACTTTTCAGAAAACAGGCATGCATTTATATTGTATCATTGCTTCTTGCCTGCAACTAACAGTCTTACTTTAAATTTATAGGTCTGATATTAATTCAAAAAGAATTATGGGATTATGAGAAAAGCCTCCATACTGTTTTTAAGAATTCCTGTTCTCTCAGAAATGAAAACAATTTGAAAAGCAAGTGGAGGGAAAGCAGGAGTGTGATCATCACTATTTTTGAAAGAAAAGGAAAACACTTCTAAAGCATTCTGAAAAAAAAAAAAAAATAGGACTTTGGATAAAGCTACCCAAAGCTGTTGTTAAATAATCACAGATATGGCCTTCCCTTATTTTTTCCTTGTATTTAAAATTATAAAAAATCATTAGCGCCAGGAAGACAAAACTAACAGGAAATGCTCAGTTAAGATAGTTGCACTTATGCCACTGATTAAAAACTGTACTTATAGCAGCTATTGCACATAGGAAAATGAAATATATATATATATACATGATTAGTCATTTCTCATAATTCTATCTGCTTCTTGAGATAAATTGATGAAGATCACAAATAAATGAGGTATCAATATTGGGAGTAGGAAAAAAAAAAGCATAAATTGTTTCAACTCTTTAAATTACTAATTATCTTCACATTACAGATGTGCTCTACTCAAATCAAGATTTGACCATTCATTGTATGAATTTAAGTTTATTATGACTGAACTGATGCTGCCAGATTCAAGTGCCATACATCAGAATTCAAATGAAGTCATAAAACATATATGGTCATGAAAAAATATATATCAGCAGTGAACTTTGATTGCAAAGTATTGTGACAGAGTACTTAGTCTTTATTTGGTCAGAAAGAATCCAATGCCTAAAATATGATCACAGACATTGATTACAATATATAATTTATTTTTTTGACTGTCTTTGTCCAGTCATGGCTCCAGAATCTAAGAAAACACCACTCCTGTTATGTGTATGTGTTAAAGGGAAACATACAAAAATATCATCGGTGAAATTTAACATGGTTGCTGACTTAATTACCGGCTCTTACTTCTGATATGACCTTGTAAAAGAAATATCACACCTTCTAGGTCTACTCTTATTTCTTTTCTGAACTTCTGTTTTTTGAAATTAAAAAAGAAAAGGTTATGATCTGAAAAAGAATGATCAGCTCTGAATTTCTGTAAGGCAAAATCTCATGCAGAGTAAAATTTGTTATAACTGGAGTAAAAGAGATGCATACAAAAAAAAAAAAAAAATCATTACATTATGTGTTTCTTAGATTTGCAGAATAGACTTTTATAATTCAAATAACCCTTCCCAAATATCAAAGTTCATCACCTATTACCACTGCAAGACACACAAAAGCATGTTCCTAAAATGGAATAGGTATAGCCTCTCTTTTTTAAGAACGCTCAAATGACTAAAAAGGAAAATTCTTAAGGCAATATCTCATTTTTGTCTACAAATCAATCAGGGAAACTCACAGATCTCATTCCTCTCTCATCTTCTCCACTTAGACTGTGTATGTCCTTCTCAAGGATGTAAGAAACTAAAACCCTTGCTGGAACTCATTGAG